AATTGGTAAAATCTTAATTTCTTTCATAAACAGTAAAATTTTCTACTTTTTTGTCTTAACCGGTATTTCAAAGATTTTTCACACAAAATTTGTTCCGAAAAAACTAAAAAGCACATATTCGGAATCAGCATCGCGAGCTCTATCAGATGATGTAAAAAAGCTTGAAAAATAAAAAGTGCTCCTTTTTTGCCCTTGGTGCACCTTATTTATAGATCTCTTGATATTGTTACTATATCAGTAGAAACAGATTGTCGTGATCTAAATCTCAAATAATGACATTCGCATATGATTACATACATTTCTTTGACTATTTTTAACTATTAATTATAATATTTAAGACTTTTATTTATATTTTCTAAAAGAAATAAAGAATTCTGATTGATTGAAACGAAATAAATGACATGATAACAAATTAGAAAAGTAATATATAATTCAAATGAAATTTTCAATATCACAGATGTGATGATGTGAATTCGATAAAAGTTAGTTTTTATAGAGAATGTTTTTTTTTTGTCAAATAAAAAAAAAATTATAATTCAATCCATTATTAATCAGTATTTTTCTAGATTGTTCGTTGAAAGAAAAACAGATCTTAACTTTCAGACAAGATTCTTTGTATTTATGCTTGATTCTTTTTTTTTTCGTTCTTGAATCTGATATATTTATTAACACAAAGGATAGAAAAAGATAAACAGTAAAAATGCATACCTACTATGTTAATTCTTGTTTTACATATTAATCGCCTAAAATCAATAATGATTGATCTATTATCAAGTTCTTTACTTCTAGAAATTCTAAAATTACGAGAACTTGACAATAGTGAATTAAAAAAATATGTCATTTCTATCAAATATGTTCACTTAGCTAATACTGATATACAACTTGTACTGAAAAGAACATTTTTCGTTCATTAATTTGAATACAACAACCATTATGTATCGCTTGTGTATAAAATGAGTAAATGATGTATAGATGTTGCTATATATACATATAGATAATATCATATAATGATAGAACGTAATGTTTCTTTGAAAGATCAAATAAGAATTTTCTTTTGTTGCTTATGACAAAAAGAACTTGTCTGACCTCAGGGTTAAAAAGAATCTTGATAGGTCGTCAAAAAAGAAGAAGAATGTCGGCTAATGATGATTGAATATAAACCTAACAACTGGTATTAAAACATACTATAATATTGGCACGCACATCTTCTCGTATATAAATGTCATCTCGTAATAATTCTTTAGCATGAAAGCATTTCAATACTTGAATGATAAATTCAATAAAATCAATCTATGATTCATATAATAAGTTTCAGTAGTTTGTCGTTCAAAAGTATACTACAATTTTATAATCGATGTAATCATTATTCTATTAGTGTTAGATCTCTAATAATGATTAATAAGAATTTTGTTCAGTTTCATATCAATGTGTGTTTATAAATATTATTTTGTTATTCTTTGAGAAATAAATAAGTATTAATAAATCAATAGAATTCTATGTCATCTCATGAGAGTTTCATTTTTGTTAAGCACATGAAACAGTTACAAAAAGTATACTCTGATTTTGGTTCCTGATTATCGATAGATTTAATTATTTCTGTTTTATTTGATATACTTATCCTTTTTCAGAAGTTTTTTTACAGTATTGAAATAAGAAGAAAAAATAGACTCTTGCATATATGTTTTCCGTACAACATTAATCGACGATCATCTTTTATAAGTATCTCAAATGCAAATAGAAGTATAGTTAAAGAAGAGTGCTTGAACATTCGAATAATTCCATTATTAAGAACAGACTATATTGAGAGAATGACAAGTTAAATTTTCTTCACCGATAACAACATTATTTTCACAATGTAGTTTTCTGCTTCCTCAGAAAATTTCTAGTCAACCGTTAGAACACAAAACAATAAAGTACTATTATGATTTGACATCTTGGAATTTTTTATTCTGTAAAAATCTAGAATTTATGATGTTAATTGATCGAGATAAGAACATCGTTTTAATATTCTGAGTTTCATACAAGTGTTTGAATAAAAGCCATGGTAAAACCTTTTTATGTAGACAAACATTAAAAAAATTAGATTTTAATCAAGTAATAAAATAAAATAATTCTAACCGACGTTTGAAATAGATTTCATCACGTTCGTTACATAATTTTGAAATAGATATTGAAGCACAATCCTAAAAAAAAAAACCATTGAAAGCTGCCATAGGTTATAGTTTAATAGAGTATTTGATTAATATTCGTCTACTGCTCAGAGTGCCGATGAATATATTTGTTATTCATGTTTATGCATCCATAATAATAAAAAAAAAACAAAAGGATCATCATGTACCTATGTGTCATGATGACTTTTGAAAATCAACATTATTCTTTGTTTGAAATCTTGTGTTTCATGAAAATATTTTGACAAAGTTTAACACAAATTGGAGCTGACTAAAAAAGTCTGTAAGTCTTTGTTTACTTTTAGAAACTTTCAAATGTTCCCGCCTATCTTTTTGTAAGTAATCCTAAACATGAAAAAGTAAATCTTCAAGAGGAAAAACCAACTGAAATATTATTGATCGAAATCATCAGAAATTTGTTTGTTCTTCAATGTATATGGTTTCATATGAAGAACTGATAAAAGACAATCGTTTTTATTTGATTAAGTCAATGGAGATTTGATATAAAATATAATAAGATATTTCTTTTCTTTTATTTCATAATTATGTTTCAGCATTTTTTTATGTATTTTCATTATTAAATGAAACTGACTGTTGTTTAATCTGTTTTTGTTGTCGTTGGAAAGTAAAATTAATTAATTTAATGAAATCTTTTCGGAATGTTTTCGATATAATAAGATGAATATAAAATTTAAATGAATAATTCAATGCTGAAAGTGTCAAAAACCAATTAAGTAAAATCCTATATTTTTTCCATTTTTTTGAACAAAATATTTCATTATTAAATAGACGATCATGTACAATAAAGATTTCTAATATAACAGTTGGTAATAAAGAAAATAAAATAATTATTGAAATAAATAATATTAATATAGAATTTCTTTTCATACGACGTGCATTTTTACTTAATTTATTTTTATTTATTTTTCTTTGATTACAACGATTGTGTATTAAAATTACTGATGATATACATGTTATTATTGATGGTAATGAAACAAATAATATAGCATGTAAAAATGGCCATATACGGATTCTCCAATGTTTAATATCTGTATCAAATTCACAAATAAATTTTGTTGTTTTTTTATTATAATAAAAATAAAAATGATGTGGAATCATAATCAATAAGATTATTATAGAAATTAAAAATATACGTATGAGAACATGACGTCGAGTAATTACAAAACGATAACGAGTAGGATAAAATATCATGAATGTTCGATCGATAGATATTGATGCTAAGTATAGATTTGATAATATTGTTGGACCAATTAGAATACTATAGAATATACCACAGGATAATATTTCTCGAGGATCTGCTTTAATTATAGACATGCCAACACACCATAACCAAAAAATACCTATTAGAGAAAATTTATCATTCTGAGATATAAAAATAGAATAGTATTTATCTTCTCAAAAATGATCTCATGTTAATATATCTTAGATCGTGATTGCATGCGGTGATTCTTTCCGTGTGCTATAAATGTTAACTTGAAAGAAAATGTAATAGATAAGATCTATTTATGCTTTGTGTTTCATTAATTTCAAAGAGATTTATCATTGTGTCGATCAATCAGTTATCCTCTTTTATTATATTCTATTTATACAATATATAAAATCTACTTTATTTCATCATCAGTTCTTAATCTGTTATTCTAAATGTATAGGAAACTATATAATACTCTGTAGAGATTTATAATTCAATGACAGTTAAATTTATAACTAGACTATTTTTAGAGTTGTTTCCTAATTCATAAGGAAAAAGTATCCTGTTCGAGACAATAAATTTCAAGTGCATTATTTTCGTAGAACAATGCTCAATATTGAGTTATTCATTAGATTGAAACTTTAATTTAATAAGTGCATTGAATCTACATTTCATCCGAAGCACATGCTGAAGTGTGAATTCACACACTGTTTTATAAATTAAAGTAGTATTTTGTATCAATAGAAAGAAAGTCAACGCAAACAAATTTCTATGGTTTTGATATTTTTTTTACTCTGTTATTCGAACTATATAATAGATTATAAATAGTTGAAATCTTTTATCTGATATTTCTATTTTTGATTAATAAATTATTATTACATCAAAACTAATCTTAATTCAAATTATATGCTAATTTTTATAAAAAGAATATCAAAACTTTTACAAACCAACAAGAAATATTAATTCACATATAGCAGTAGCTATAAAATATAATGATATTGATTCTTTACGATTGGCTTTATTTGACATAATTAAAATTTGAAATAAATGACCAGGTATACCAAACATAGTACATAAAAAACCGCATGTATACCAAATGATATATGATATATTTAATGCATCGTTATAATTCCAACTATTAGAACGAGTGTCTATTCCTGTATTGTTCATTGTTTTTGTGTCGATTAACTTCTTATCATGATCACCAATGTCAAGATAGACCTATCAAAAAGAAAATGGGTATGAGTGAGTTTTACTAACATACTCTTTTATTCTCATAGGAGAGCAATATGAAGAAAAGAAAGAAAAAAAAAAGACAGAAAGGAAAAGGAAAGATTTTCTTCATACTATTAAGAACAATCTCTATGGAAACATCAATAATAAAAAAGGAAAATGATCGTCATTATTATTTTGGTCGATTGAAAAAACACCATTAATAATATATTTTTTTGTATGATCAATTTTATTTAATGTGTAAAATTTAGTTGTGAGACCATTATAATTACCATTATTTATTTTTTTATGAAAAACTGTCAGTGGGATCTCTGCAGGATAAAAATATAAAATGTAGTGTACCTGTCAGAGGTCGAATAGAACTGTATTCTACTAATTTGAGTTCGTTGCGTCTTTATGTTCTTTAAACCAGTTCGAGCTCGATTAGATTGGGTTCTTTTTCGGTCTCTCGTCGCACATGCTGTCGTTTCCTTACGAGAAGATTATTTTATTCTATCTGTTTTGGAATACATTTCTTCATCATCGCTTTATTTGATCATTGAGCAATGCAATAAGGAAGTAGTTTACATGTTATACCTAGATGTTAATAATATACGGTCTGTGGAAAGGGAGAGTAGATTCAAACTTCTTCTTTTATACTTCAACACTCCTTATAGATCATACTTCATAAGTCTTGAGGTCAGACTAAAATTAGTTTATATACAAACAGAAAATAGGTTGTAAGGGAAAGTTTTAAAATGAGCTTTGAATAATCGTGCTAGTCTTTGAAATGATTTATCTTTTCAGCTTGCCAAGCTAAAATACGCCATGCTTGGCTAAAGTTGACCAGAAAATTTCTCGAACCAGAACCAACCGAACCTATTCAGTCAAAAAATGTTTATGGGTAAAGGATATTTTTTGTACGTAAAATGCTGAAAACAGAGTTCTAGTGTCTTTTATCAAATTTCCAGAACTATTCTGTTATATAAAACAATAGAAATAACAGTAATATCATTGAAATTTGAGCTACAGCTTGATAATAGTGGGCCACCTGATACTGTTGTCAAAGCTGAAAAAAATGTGTATTTTTAGAGAATGTAAAAAAAGAATGATGAGTACGTTATCGTAATATTGCGCCGGTAACTCTTTCAAGGAATAAACTTCCAAAGAAAATATCTGACCATTATAAGGTCTGTTATAATAGCTGTAAACACAAATTAATAAATTACGTTCAAAACAAAAATTTTTCGAGAAGTGTAAACTGTTTTGAATCATTCTGATGTAAAGGATCCTTTGGGATGAGTGCGTTACCACGACTATTTATTCTTTCAAAGTCGTTACAATTCGACAAAATGAAATAAAAATTGTAGTGCTACTGGAACCCACATATATCTAGATATAATGTAAATTTCAACTCTTGTCACTTAAATTTATTGAACTGCGACAATCTGAAAGTAAAATGTGAGTGAGTGCATTATCTGTGGATAAACTATTTTGTTTTAATAACAAATATATAAACATGAAAATGTGAGCATAAACTTTTTGCAATCAATTAACAAGATATTTTATAAGAAAAACGAAACATTTTCTTATACTAATCTGATTATACAAAAATCTCATTAAACTATCAAGTATTTATTGTTCATCACCTTTTTATTAATTATTCAACAAGTCTTTTAGAAGTTTTATCGATCATTACAAGGTTTTTTATACTCTGTTAAATGTACTTTCCTTCTAGTTGTTTAAAGCTTGAAAACTGCCCTTCTTGTATTTTTTTTCCTCTGATATTCTTCATACACTTTCCGTACGACATACGTCAGCAAATTCCGTGTCATCTTCTTAAGGTAAGATTGCATTATTAAATAATTCATCAATACTTCAAAATACAATCTTTGTTCTTTGTGTTTCGCTTTGCACGCGACGTTTTCATATATTTCAGCTATTTCAATCCAGCTGCTGAGTACATAGTTTGATGAACGCTGAATAAACAAATAAGATAAATAATTATTGGCTTCTACTGCGTAGGTTTTCATGTAGACTTCTTCAGCATTTTATTAAAAAGTCATGTTGATCGATTGTGAAAAGTTTATTCTCACATTCTCATGCTTGTGTTTCTATTGATACAAGAGAAGGTGTTATCCCATAATATGTCACTTAAAAGATTGACACGAGCACTTAAGATTCATAAAAAAGTATTTGATTAAGATTCATTTTCTATTTGCATATAAACTATTTTTGTTGCGCCTCAATACTTATGAAACCCCCTGCATAGGAAGGGAAGGCATTATTGACCTGAAAATTTATGTCATTAAAAATGGTTAAAAGACGTACGATGACTTCTAAAAAGCAGAATATACCCAATGTCATGTAAATGTTTAGTAGTTCTTATTATTTTTTGTAGAATTCTACAAGTGTCTCCGTGAAAGTCGTTGTAAAGTTTTTGATATAGAAAAACATCGAAAACAAAATTCACCTAATAGTTAAAACCTTTAAAAATTTAAATTTCAGTTAAAACAAAATTAGATTCTAATCGAGTAAAAAATAACTTTCTTCTAATCAATTTTTTTAATAGATTTCATCACGTTCATCGCATAGACTTGAAATAGATCTCAAGACATCGAAGCAAAATTCTGGAAAACAACAACACTGAAAGCTACCATAGAGTCTAATTCAATAGAATATTTAATTAATATTCATATACTTTTCTGTGTGTCGATGAATATAATTGTTGTTCATGTTTATACTTTAATTATAAAAAAAAAACAAATCATCACGTAGATAAGGTAGTAAATGAAAGTCTATCTGTGGTAGAACTGTCCATAAAACTAATATAAATAAGTAGCTTTAGTCATATTCTGATCAGAATCATTATTCACTCCTTCAGCATGGCTGTTAGTCATTAGCTCTATTATACCTCTTACAGATGACTCTATCCATGCACCAACGACATGAAATTATATTTTTATCTTAGCATTTGTTGAGTTTGAAGTTCAGTCATGTGGCTGTGGCAAAAGCATGCCATCGTGATATAATAATGGTGAAATATTGGATCAGACAATGGAAGCAGTTAAAAGGCTTGAACTATTTGACTCGATC